GCTCACCATGTCCACAATGTGTTTATCAATAAATTATATTTTTATTATGTTAAGTGTAAAACATCTCTCTCAAATGTCAGTAGGTTTTTTGAATAGTTATTTTTAATGACATTTTTTTTTACTTCTACACAATTCTTGTTGCTATGGAAACGGGTATGAGCCGGCGGTTTTAAAAATTATTTTGTAGTGTGTTTTAACGCCGGTTGAATAATCGTGGGATATTATATAATTTAGTGCTAGTGTATCAGACTGGATTGGTTTGTGCGACTGTATGAGATTTTGTCCGGCTGTATCATGCATTGTCCGCTTAATTCGTGTTTTTTCCGGTTGTTTCTTCTCCTGGTATTTGATAATGCTCTTTCGTTGTTGTTTTTTTTTAAATTCTTTTTCCGGCTCTGTTAGGCGTTTTCCGGCTCTGTTTGGCGTTTTCCGGCTCTGTTTGACGTTTCCGCCACGGCTTTTGTCAGCACATTCTATCCAATATTCTTTAGACTCATGTGGCACTGTCGCAGCTTGTGTGCAGTGTTTCTTTCAGACATTTTTTTTCCGGGAATGGAGGGGGGGGGGGGGCATATGAAACTTTCGGGGAGGGGGAGGGGGTGCATTTAAATTTCTGGCGGGGGTGGGGGGGGGGGGAGAACAACACTAGTTTGAGTATATTTTCTACATAAATCATGTTTTCTATTCCGTTTGGTGGGGGGGGGGGGGCATGAATCGAGGCCCCCAAGAGATGCCTGAAACTCAGCTTGTTCGTTGGAGTTATGTCATACGATTACCTACACCCCCCCCCCCCCCGGCATCACACTATATTGAGAGCCTCTCATGTATTGGTTATGTGTTATAACAAAAAAAATCATTGCAATTCGTCATTCAGCCAACACATGTGACAGAGCTATTTTTAGCTCGTGTGTTTTGCTCCCCAGCCATACAAAACGTGTTGTTGTTTTTTTTTTAAAATCCCGCTCACATCAAATACGTTCTAAAAATAGCTTCGATATAAATAAGAGATTATCACGTGTTCGCTATTCAGCGATGTGTTAATGTACACACTATGTAGAAACAAAATTGTGACAGTAGATTTTTTTTTAAATGGATGCCGTAATTCTCGTGTGTGTTGGATCGTGTCTATTTATAGCTATTGATAATGTAATGATTCGAAGTGTGTTGTAAAAGTGTGGTTCAGTGGTCATTCTGCTGCGGTCTGTAGACGGGGTCAAAGGTCAGTAGATTAACGCCCGGGTCGGCTAAAGTCAATATTCGGACATGGCGCATAGTCGTGTGTGTAAACACTAGAAATGCGATGTTTGGGTTTGTTATCTAGGTGGAAGTTATCGCCCTTTTATACTTGTTGTAATAGTGAGGGGAGACAATATGTGAACATTTAGATTTTTATCTAACTATATTACGAAAATTTTACAGCTAAGTATTAGTTTTTTTTAAGCTAAAAGTTTTCACCAATAACGATACTCTTACCTTCAGCATTTGGATTAGGTTTAGGTTTAAAATTTAAGTACATTATGCGAACGATGTGTACATTTGGGCAGCTGATATGGAACACACTTTCACCGGCATTTTTAGGTATTTAATTTGACGGAGTTTGTAGATTGGTCACTTATGGTGGGTTAGGGTTAGGGCAGTGGGAGATTTTAGGGAAGGGGGGGTCTTAGGTTAATGTATCGTTTCGTACTTATGTATTTATACAAAGACAGTTTTGGTCGTTGTTTTTTTTTTTTGTTTTTTTTTGTGTGTCTGTATTAGTTTAGGTTTTCAATGCTTTTCGGGTGATGTTTTATGTTTTTCAATGCGTTTCTTTATTCGGGTGATGTTTTATGTTTTTCAATGTGTTTCTTTATTGTCATGTTTTATGTTCAAAGTGTTTCTTTATTCTTGTGATGTTTTATGTTTTTTGTTTTTTTTATTGTCATGTTTTATGTTTTTCAATGCGTTTCTTTATCCTTGTGATGTTTTAAAACCCCTAAGCCTACTTGCGTCACCAGCGGGGTAATAATTGTTGTATTAATAATTGATGGAAACGGAGCAAAAATTTTATAAGCGGCGTGTGAATCTATTGAACTATAGGGTATGTTGTTGTTGTTTTTTGTTTTCAATGTCTGTTTGATGCACCCTGTTGTAATTTGTTAAAGGCTGGAATGTTATCGTGTGCGACGCGAGTCTAGACTTAAGACGCGGTTTCAACGTTGACAAGAAGAAAATATAGACAATATGTGCGTTGAATGTTTACTTTAAAATGTATCATGCATCGTGCAAGATTATTTCTGAATAGACAAGATATAAGTTTATTGTGCTTCAAATTAGGTATAGGCCTATATTCTCATTCGGGTTAAATATATATACATATAATATAGGCTCATATGTCTGTTTGGGTAAGAGTATAACTAGACCAAGAGGTAGACACTATTCCAGTATATGCTGAAGCTAATTGTCATACTAGTTAAAACCAGTGGAGCAAGTGAAGTAGAGTTCACCAGTTTCTGTAACCTCGGCATGTAAAGGGATAATGTGGCCAGCACTATGCCCGGTCGCCTTAACTTTCAATAACGTGAGTTAGGTTTCCAACAAGTCTGGGTGGACTCAGGAACGTTCTACTGACTTGAACTCGGATTCGAGCTCAAGACTTTCGGGTTAGCAATCTAGCGCTCTACCTCTAGGCCACGCCATTCCATAAACCCCACAGACTTCTTTAACCACACATATCAATCGGTCAGACGCACATTTCTCGACCAGAAGGTAGGCTGCTGGTCAATAGGTCACCTGGGGCATTATCTTCTGACTTTATGGCTCAGATATAGACGGGTCAGCACAATAGCAGACTGTAACAGATCCAGGCTTGACCTTATTGGTGGATAGCCTTTGGTCAGATTAGCTGGACCACGCGCTAGTCTGACCGCACGCCATAACCTTTTCTTTCTTTCACCTTTGACCACACAAAGAATCCATTTGTAATGGATTTTTTTTTGGCCAGATAAAACTTTCCATATGGGAGACTTAACACGCGACTTAACATCAAGGGGGGGGGGGGGGACTTTTCTTTAGACGAAACAAGTTTGTTAGGGGCGTATCCGGGCGGGGAAGGCGACTCCCCCCCCCCCCAGGTGAAAACCTTTCTGTTTATGGCTGGTCAAAAGTCAGTTGCGTCACCGGAAGTAGGGTGAAATTGTTCGTGTGTGTGTGGTGGGGGGGGGGGGGCTTTTAACTGACAATTTAAGCTTTGTAAGGAGGGGAGAAAGGGGTGGCTTTCATATGGTCTATCGCAACGGTCGCACCGGTCATTTGATGTCCGGAACTGTTTAATCATGTGACCAAACAGGAAATACAACTGTTTATTTTGAGCCCCCCCCCCTCCTCTTTGATATGCTTATAGCTTTTAGATGTTAGTGCCGATCATTTGAGTGTACCGTAAAGGCAAAGATTTCTCTGCCTGCTGCCTAAAGCCTGCATAATATACAGAGACAGGAAATGGATAAATACAAATGGTAGCTGCAGTGAGGTTAATGCATTTAGTAATTAACATACAGTGTTAGTTTCATCACTTATTAAAGATAATTACTGGTACAATGGACGTTTCGACTGTAGGTCTTCTTCGGCAGTCAACAGTGTGGTTAAGATTAGACAAAACGACAATCTTGTGACATAATTTTGGACTTAGCTCGACAGTGAAAACACGTCTTGTCTAAATGCCGCGGTATCCTAAAGAATAACTTGATAGAAACAAACACTTTTACCTTTGTTCAGATACTATATAGCACGGTCATCATCCTTAGCTCCTAACACATACGCACTCACAGACGAAATAACAAAATGCAGTTAAACTAAAACGATACGTGTCTAGTAGTTAGGGTTAGGGTGCCAATATATTTAAATTGATCCAAACTCTACCTACACTAACCGATGGTTGAATCTGTGGTAGATGGTGCATCTACGGTGGTCTGTGTTTACCAGAGGTACTCACCTACATCACCCTCCCCACCTCCCTTACACGCACCACACCTCCCCAACACGCACCACACCTGTCTCGTCCGGTTACGGTAAAACACAGTCCAGCTTTGTCTGCTTCAGGTGTTAATAACTTTGACAGTTGTAGATACGTTGTTTGTCTGGGCTTGTTTCTAACACCTTCCATTGACTCAGCCACCCCCCCCCCCCTCGCCGCATCCTCCAATCTCCACTTCACTTCCATTTTTTTAATTACCAACTGCATCTACTAGTATAATAATCATTTATGTTACTAGGCGCCATACTTGTTAAAGTTGAACATCTATGGTATAATATGGGACACCAATAAACTTTTTTTTGGAGAATCTCTGATTGTGGTATACGAAACCTACAATAGACTAAAACTTAAATAATTATCTTAGTTAAGTTTGTTATTTGTAATTTGAGGACCGATTAGTGAGTAACGTCAATTGTTTTAAACAAAATTTGCAGTCTGTTTCTTTTTTATTTTGTTGTTGTTTTTTTTCTGACAGACTTCCGGTCGCTAAGTTTGTTTGTTCATTGTGGATGAATGTTGTAATCTATCTACAGGAATACTGTTTGTGTGTGTGTGGGGGGGGTGTAGCTTTTGAGCCGTGTAAACATTTCCGGCAGGCTATTCAGTCCGTGTTGGATGACGGACGCCGTGTTCACGTCTGACACACACACACACACACACACACACACACAGCACACACTGACCCAGACTGACGCGCAAACATTGCGGTGTTTTCTCTCTCGTCAGTCGCAGTTCGGCCAGCGTCCGAGCGATTTGGTTGGCTGATTCTCCTTACACTCACCGCCTCCCCTTTTCATTCAAGGCCGGACACAGCAGTGTCAAAACCTTGACCCTTCGGCCAAACAACACGGCTGACCTTGGGAACGTAGACGAGTTATTTGCTAAAGAGAAAGGGGGAAAAAAATTATTTTTAGCCCTCGAAGGGGGAGGGGGAGCACTTGGTATCTTCGCTTCTTATTGGTTCATCTTTAACGTTATTTTCCCAAAGTTTTTATTGTTGTCGTGTGTGACGCACTGAATGAACACAGGGGGAGATAACTAGAATGGTCAAACAGTGTCAATCAGACTTATTTCCCCTGTGTAAGCCGGGCTGTCAAATTTGGATCAACTTGGTGCTACAGTGCAAGTAGTGTGTTGTTTTTTTTTTTCTCTGTGCTGAGTATTTCTCTTGGATTATTTACTGATTCGATCGTTCAATGATGAACTGCCTCAGTGCGAACTCAGAGGAGGTACATTTTCTTTTTTTTTAATTTATAAAACACACCTGAAATCAAAATGTGCACAAATCGATTTATTTACTAATATTTTGAGCACCATTTGCCTTATTTTTTTTCCTGGCATGTTTGCACAATTGTTCTTCTTATACTAATGAGGCCTACTTTTTATAAAATATGTTTAGGTCCTAGGCCTATCATATTTTTAAAGTGTAGCGCCTATTTTGTGTGTGGTTCGTTTTAATCGTTTTTTTTTTGTTCCATCTCTTTGGTAATGCGATTTCGAATATTTGGTCCAGAACTTAAAACAATATAAATTATACGTAAATATCTGCAAAATAAATGAAAAATGTGTCGGCCTAACCCAAAATTTCCCCTAAAAATGATAATATTACAATAATGCACAATGGCTTTCCTACCACTGTGTTACCCAAAATAAATATCGATCTAATAGACCTAGGCCTAATTAACTTTCTTATGTGACTTGCCCCGACTATTTTAATTTTTTATAAGCCTAATCCAAATTGATAATTAGTCTATTCGATTAGCTAGCCTTAATTTATTATTAATTAAGCTTTGTTTAGATTTGTTTAATTCTCGTGGGATATGATGTTAGTCCGTAATCTAATTTTCAGAAATCCCACTGGCGGCAGTAGCTAGCAGATTATTCTAGCCTATTGGCAGGTAGTGGCGGCACTAGCTGGTGTATTCTATCCTAGTGGCGGCACTAGCTGGTCTATTCTAGCCTAGTGGCGGCAGTAGCTAGCTGGTCTATTCTAGCCTAGTGGCGGCAGTAGCTAGGTGGATTATTCTAGCCTAGTGGCGGCAGTAGCTAGCTGATTATTCTAGCCTAGTGGCTGGTAGTGGCGGCACTAGCTGGTCTATTCTAGCCTAGTGGCGGCAGTAGCTAGCTGGTCTATTCTAGCCTAGTGGCGGCAGTAGCTAGGTGGATTATTCTAGCCTAGTGGCGGCAGTAGCTAGGTGGATTCTAGCCTAGTGGCTGGTAGTGGCGGCACTAGCTGGTGTATTATAGCCTAGTGGCGGCAGTAGCTAGCTGGTGTATTATAGCCTAGTGGCGGCAGTAGCTAGCTGGTCTATTCTAGCCTAGTGGCGGCAGTAGCTAGCTGGTCTATTCTAGCCTAGTGGCGGCAGTAGCTAGGTGGATTATTCTAGCCTAGTGGCTGGTAGTGGCGGCACTAGTTGGTGTATTCTAGCCTAGTGGCGGCAGTAGCTAGCTGGTCTATTCTAGCCTAGTGGCGGCATTAGCTAGCAGGTTATTTTATCATTGTGGCATCTCTTATAGATTGAACAAACTACGCTTGTTGGTTATAATTTTAGATTCGCGTGTCTACTACGCTAGTTATTCGGTTACATACATATCTACAGAAGCAAAGGGGGGGTAAGTCTTTATTGAAAGTACCCCAGCTTTGATGGGTACTCGATTTCCGTTGAGGAAAGTAAAGACGACTGGGCATAGAACTGACCACATTATCGTTTCATTCGCCGAGTTGAAAAACACCTTGAATTCTACTTCATCTACCCAAGTGACAGCCAGGTCCAAAAGTGTAACTATTAAACAGCTTAAGCGATATCACTTACTACACAATAACTTAAGCACAAAGTGAACTCTGTACCAATAGTGCCAGGATTGGTCACTTTTTGACTAGTGAAGGAAGCGCTCTCATGGTCACCAAATGTGACCACTCCAAACATATTTTTTTTTCCTAGATAAAAGTTTGCTTTTTACGTTTACATCAAACATCACGAAAACAGCAAATGGTTTGGTCGCAAAGTTGTTGTAAATTTTTTTTTTTTTTTTTGCGAGTCTAATTGTTGATTAACAATGATATGCAGTAGGTTTAAACTATTAGCTTAGATAGGTTTAGGCATTCGAATAGAAGGCGTGGTAAAATCACATACAAAAATCCCGAATAGATAAGTTAAAGGCGATCACAGATGACGTAAGTATTATACATCGATCGCCATGTTACTACAAAGTACTTAGATACGTTTTAAAGAGATTTTCTTATTTGGTTGATGAATTTGAACCTGTACAGCTTCAAAGGTTACCACGCCATTGTCCTTAAATAGTTACTGCTCCGATGACCTTGAACCAAAGGTTACAGATCTGGTGACCTTGACTCGATACAACTCTGATGGAAATTAAACAGCGTTCAAATCAACCAGTCGTAACTTTTTTACTGTTAAACTCTGCTTCACCTACTCCATGGACCACCAGATCCCCCTTGTTCTAAACACAAATAACCATCTGCTTCCATTCCTATCCCCACTAGTCTTTGGCAACTTGAGCCATTCCGGCTAGGCTGCGGCTTAGAAATTAATTTGTTTTAGTCGTTGGACTTGGACCTATGAGGCTAATTTATTCTAAGTACACTGTAGATTTGTGTACGGCTGTGAGATTCATTTATCTTAACTAGCTTTTCGGTTCATGTCTCGGCGATTTACTTATTGTTTTTAGAAGGTAATATCCTCATTTTTACTTTCTCGTATATACGAAGTATAGAGAAAGTATTGTAATCGTGCAAAAAAAAAAATCGAGATTTTTACAAATCTCGACGTTTTACACCTCACTGATACGGAAAAACATAATTTTGCAATCTTGTCCGTATGTCTGTGTGTCTGTGTGTGTGTGTGTCTGTCTGTCTGTCCGTGTGTAAACACGATTACTTGAGAACCGTTACAGCTAGGTTGATGAAATTTCATATATAAGTATTTTATCAAAATCGTAGATCCGTATCAACTTTTGAGCGATTTCCGATAACCGGAAGTGGTACTTTTCCTACTTTGAATTTTTCAAAAGCCTATAACTTGAGTACTATTTCAGATAGATAAATGAAATTTCACATGTAAGTAAAAGATCTAATTCTCTACCTTCTGTTAAATTTTGAGTAATTTCTGTTCACCGGAAGTAGTAATTTACGCTACTTCCGATTTCTCAAAAAACTAATGTAAATTTTTAAAGTACTAATAATATTGCGCACTATTATGCGCTTTTTTATTTGGCGTTCACTTGGTGTGCAATTAATTTGTCTACGAGATTTTATTCTATTTTTAAAACTTTAAGAATTTAAAATGGATTAAAAATCATGTCTATAGCCCGAGTTCCCATCCCCTGTTATTTTATATAAGAATATTCGAGAAAGTTTAGGGGAGATCACTCCCAAATTTATTTTCCTTCAAATTTGACATTTGTTATGTTCAAATTTGACATTTGTAACGTTCAAATTTGACATTGTAACGTTCAAATTTGACATTTGTAACGTTCAAATTTGACATTTGTAACGTTTAAATTTGCTAGAAATTTTAATTACTGTTGAATTATAGACTACCAAAATAAAATTTATAGCATTAGGTATACTGTTTGTCTCCACATCTAAGGTGTTTGTAGTAATGCACGTCTCACTAAACCTTTATTTTTTTAATGTATTTAATATACATTTAATATTTAACAGCCCCCAGCACAATAATCTTTTTTCTTCTACTTTGTTTTAACTCTTCGTTTTCCTATTGTTTGTGTCGATTCATGTATTTCTGCTAGTGGGTTGTTTAAACCGTGACCAGTATGTACAGTTGGATTTAGTAAATTTTCATATTACCAACACACGGGGAACAGCGTGGTCAAATCGTAGAGCATACGACTGCTAATTCGAAAAGTTTAGAATTCAAATCCGGGTTCAAAGTCCGTAGAACATTACGTAGTTCACTCAGCTGTAATGGGTACCCAACTCACATTAGAGAAAATGAAGACCACACTTCCATTCATAAGACAAAGACATAAAAGGTGAACTCTGCTTCACAAGCCACAAGGGCCGTCAGGTTTGAAAGGGAACCTTAACCAATTTTTAAGTTTCTATTTGGTCTCCATATGCCTAATTTTTTTTTTTTTTTTTTTTTTTTTTTTTTTTTTTTTTTTTTTTTTTTTCTTGAGTTATAGGCCTGCGTATCGTTTCTTCTGAACATCCTGCACATGCATGGCGCCCCTCTTACCATTTTGTTGGTGGCATTTAATTTCTGTGTTCTTGTTATGCATGCTGATTTATATTTAATGTTGAACTAAAGCCACGTATATCAAGCTTGCTGCTATTTATATGGATTTATTATTTATATCTTTTATATATTGAACGAACTCTTTTCTCTCGACACATCGAAGTATTTTATATACGTCTTTAACGGGTCGATTTACCTATGTCAAGGGAAGTAATTTTACAAGCTGGTGCTTGATGCTTTCCCTTCCCCTAGCTTTAGACTTTAGAGCTTATAACATATCACATAGTTAACCTAACGACATGATGTAAGGTGTTTACTATCGAATCTCTTAACCCGAGTACAATGGGAGGGGTGGGGGTACTTAATAAGGTAGATTATCATCCTCACGTCCTTGTATTATCTTAGCCAGGGGTCTCCAAACTACGGCCCGCGGGCCGGATGCGGCCCTCGAAGTCCTCTCATCCGGCCCGCGGAGATCTTTTTGTCCAAGGAAAAATCGTTTGTTGATGATAGCTGAGGAACTGTGCCCAGAAAAACCAAAGACATGTCTGGAAGTAACTGGCCCCCGAACTCAAATTTGATAGTTAATGCGGCCCTCGGACTGAAAAGTTTGGAGACCCCTGATCTTAGCGAAGAAACTGGGTGTAAGTTGAGTTTCGAACCTGTCGGCCGCACGCGACAGGTGAAGTAGAGTTCACTTGTTTCTGTGACCTCGGCATATGAAGGGAAAGAATGGTCAGCATTTATTTTCAGCCGTCTTTACAGTCTCTTACGCGACTGTGTGTGCCTGGTCAGAAAAATGTCCAACATTCGTTGATTTGATTTGACGTTCCCATTCACGATGTTAGTAAAACAGTTGTCATGGACCCCCCTCCCCCCCCCCCCCCCCCACCACCACCTCCATGTATAACCCCAATCAAATCACGTATTTATGTTTTATCAGCACATCAACTTATCCTTGGCTAGTTTGAAGCACAGGCGTGCCATATTGAACACGTAAATTGTAGGATATAATATATTTGGCAATTATTTCAACAGTTTTATCTGACACAATTTTTTCTTTTATCTTCTACAGTCCACCAAAAGCAGAAAGCTACTGCGCTTTAGCCCAAAGCTCCGCAAACGGAAGTCGGAAAAGGGCGTCCATGGTGTAGGCATGGCAACCGGTAACGATGGCCATGTTCCTAATGGTCTTAACGACAGAGAGCGATTAGGTATGTGTTTGAACCTTTCTGTGACGACTGTCTATGATTATTGGTCTTAACGACAGAGAACGATTAGGTATGTGTTTGAACCTTTCTGTGACGACTGTCTATGATTATTGGTCTTAACGACAGAGAGCGATTAGGTATGTGTTTGAACCTTTCTGTGACGACTGTCTATGATTATTGGTCTTAACGACAGAGAACGATTAGGTATGTGTTTGAACCTTTCTGTTACGACATTCTATGATTATTGGTCTTAACGACAGAGAACGATTAGGTATGTGTTTGAACCTTTCTGTTACGACAGTCTATGATTATTGTAATTTGGCCGGGATAGACGACTTTTTTTTATTCCCCAACTCAGACCGTGGGCCAGTTGATTTCATCTTGATGCAACTTTTAAACTGTTTCATTACTTTAAAGTTCGGCTGAATACTTTATAAACCACAAGTTTGCTTCAGGACCCCCCCCCTCTCCTCCGCGTGGACGAGATAGAAAAATATACGATTTTTATATTTTTTAAAACGTATACTTTTAACTAGTGTCCGCTCCAACCCCTTAAAAATTTAACTTCCCTCGCCCGCCAAGAGAAAAAAAATGTCTGAAAGAAACACTATTAGCAACGGAAACATGACCTCAAATACAACTAGTTCAAAACCATTGTATTTACTGTAATGTCTTTGTTTTGTTGGCTCATGTTCTTGAGTAATTTTAATATTTGAAACGATGACTAACATTTGCCATACGAATACAACATTGAACACATTAAGTAGGACACACTTTTTCTATAAATAACTTTTGGGATTTCCGGGAGAGTCTGCAAAGACGAGATTAATTCAGTTTATTTCCGTTCCTAGTGCGCTAAAGTGCGTGGTGGTGGTGGGGTGGGGGGGGGGCATGGTTGAGAGTATCTTGTAAGAGTAAGGTGTAGCGATGTGTGTTCCCAATTTTTAAGCTAATCAATTCGTATTTTTGACACACGGTCCCGTTTCAACGCACATGAACATACCAGTACTAGTACATATGAACACACACAGATTCGCACGTGCGAACAGACTCGTACGTGTGACGTCATCCATAGGCACAAACACGCACATCTAACAATGATTACTCACAGTCCAAGCATGTTAGACCTAGAACTATTAAATTTAAATTGTTCTGTAATCGTAACAACTCCTGTAGCGTTTATCATAGCTAATTCTGTACTACAATAAAACTCAAACCTGAATAAATGAATTTTAAAACGATACCGAAGATTGTATCTAAGTGTATATCCTTACCATAATCTCCGACTAACTGTAACAACAATACCGATAATAATATCGATACGCTGATCCTAATCTTTTAACCTTAACATCGATGTCAGCAATAGTATCGATATCCTAACCTTAATCTCTGACTGACTCGAACAGCGTTACAAGCAGTGGTATCGATATCCTAAACATAATCTCCGAATCTGGCCTTAATTGCCATACCAGCAATGCTATCGATATCCTAAACGTAATTTTTAACTGCCCCCTAAAGCTATACTTGCAATAGAATCGATATTTCATATATTTTGTCAACATCCCAGCCTTCACCCTAACCATGACCTTGTCCCTATTCGTCGCTTTAACCGTGATCTGGGCCTTAATCCTGACCCTAACTGCAGATAGTCATAGAAACCAACCACCCGATGTGCTCCTGTATTTTCCTGTCATCGTTTTACTGAAAGTGTCTTTCAAACCCCCCCCCCCCCTCCCCCCTCGGCTGTTTATTGTATGCAGTCTTGACTGCTAGCGACCTTGAACTTGGGTTGGAGTGGGGCAGAGAAAAATGGGTTGAAAATTCCATACACATTCATCACGATCCATGAGCGACAAGGTCAAGGCTGAATCTGATTGAATCGAAGCAGCCAGTTAAAGGCGTGTTTACTGCTCTGACGATGTGGTTTAATAGTTCCGCTGAGATTTAAGCGTTGGGGAATTTTTTGCCGAAACAAAATAATAACGCTAGTTCGGTCGTCCATGTTAGTAATGTTATACTTTAGAACCTGACAGTCAATAGTGTAGGTGAAGAAGAGTTTACATGTTTCTGTGACGGCGGTAAATGTAGGGATAATGTGTTCAGTGCTATGCCCAGTACGACTGTCTCGAGTTCGGATCCCGTGCTCGAATCCGTAGGACGTTACTGAGTCCACTCAGTTCTGATTGGTACCTGGCTCACGTTAGGTAACAGCAAAAGACGGCTGGGTATGGCGCTGACCACACTATCACATAATAAGCCGAGGTCACAGAATCAGGTAAACTCTACTTCAGCTGCACCACGGATAGCCAGTTTCTAGAAGTAAATTTACTTTTAATATACCCAGCATGAGGCAGTTACCCACCAGAGCTGGGTTTACTCAATTATGTAAACAAAAAATTAATTAAATTTCAATGGGATTTCCTGTTTAAAAATGTGTCAGTTGTATAGACCTTAGTCCAGGGGTGCTTTTTTGTTTTAATTTTAATAGCGGATTCGGGCCGCACCCCCTCACACCACCTTCTGTGACGCCATTAGGCTGTTGTGTTTTCAGTGCCAAATAAAAATGCTAATCGCTTACGAACGAGAAGCTACTAACTGTGTACAAAAATACAGGACAAGTTTACATTTAGGTCTTTTGGGAAAGGTGGGGGAGGGGTCGCGCGGTTATCATTTGTATCCTGTGCAAATAGAACATTACTTCTTATGAATAATTTCCTGTAATAAGTATACACCATTAGGTGATATTTTTTTCTTTGTCTTATTTGGCCTTCTATTCGGTTCTACTACGTCTATTTACTCACAAACATTATGTAACCGTAATTTGTCTCGCCAAAGTCGATGTAAAAAAAACTTGGCATCGTTCAAGCCACTACCCTTTCTTGTTCCCCCAATTGAGAACCATCGCATTTGCATAGATTAAGTAGCCTCAGTGCTCACCCGGTACCCGACTCATTTAGCAGGTGACGTACAGCTAGACGGTACCCCCCGCTGGTACTGAAATACCAAGGGGAATAATTTGGTCCGAATTTGCAATTCTGCTATTCTAGATAGATCAAGTTCGCTAGTAGCCTCCCTTTTTCCTTGTGTGTGTTTTTTTTTGGGGGGGGAGGTTGTTGTTGTTTTTTTTTTTTATTTTTTTATAGTGTACGAAGACCATAAAAGTACACACAGACATGCATGTAACAGGAAACAGTGCAGTATGTTTCGGCCTTGTGGCTTCGTCGGCGTAAACAACAAAAAACACAAGACGCTTTCAGCTTTTTTTTATATCCACTTGACACGTTCACGTGTATCTTAAATATGAATTTAAATTGATGGAGAGATAGGACACAAGATTAAAACATACAAGTACTTTTCTTATGCTTGTGCACACAAACGCATGCATGCACAGACACATGTGCATGCATGCATACACGCACATATGTACACGTATGCGAAATTATGTAATTAAAGATAAGCAGACAAAAACGGAATGTGTTCTGATACTTAATTATTCACATACCTACGTACAATAATTCACATCTCTTGTCTTCGCTGCGAGGTTCTCAATTCTCATGTCGTCATGTCAGAGGCATAGCGAAGGGGGGGGGGGGGGTACATATGTCCCCGGGCGCCGACCCTAGGGGCGCCAAAATGGGTTGAAAAAAATTAAAAGCTCATTTTAGTTGCAGTTTTGAATTATAAACTTGCAAAATATGAGGGGGGGGGTGCCAAATTGAAAGTTTGTCACCGGGCGCCAGGAAGGGTCGCTACGCCTCTGTGTCATGTACACGTCATTAAAACAACGCAAACTTCTACCTACGTCACCAAAACAACGCAAACCTCTACCTACGTCACCAAAACAATACGTCACAAAAACAACGCAAACTTGTACCTGGTGCCAAAGTTCGCTGGCTCCTAGCCTGGTGTGTTTCCTTGTCTGTTTGCTCATGTTTGTTCATCATGCTCAGCACGTGCGCTCGTTAGCATGTGCAATCTTCGCGAGCTGACACTTTCTTATAAACACTTGCTTACAGACACTTTATTATAAACACTTGCTTACAGACACTTTATTATAAACACTTGCTTACAGACACTTTATTATAAACACTTGCTTACAGACACTTTATTATAAACACTTGCTTACAGACACTTTATTATAAACACTTGCTTACAGACACTTTATTATAAACACTTGCTTACAGACACTTTATTATAAACACTTGCTTACAGACACTTTATTATAAACACTTGCTTACAGACACTTTATTACAATTGCTTACAGACACTTTCTTACAATTGTTTACAGACACTTTCTTACATCAGTTTACAATTTTTAATTGAATATAAATGTAATAAACCTCATACATTTACACAACTTCTACTTAATAGATATTTTCCACCTATATTTTACTTTATTACAATATTACACTACATCAGTTGTGCTTTCAACTTTCTACAATAGCCATTTTTGTTTGTAAACATTTACTGTACTAGATAGCCCCATCCTTTCATCATACCGCAACAAAAAGTGTTATAAATATTTATATCCACGCCTTTAAGACAAAGCTTAGTGCCACCTCGCCTTGACTGCGAATCCATAGACAATACCGGTAATCGGATACTCTCCACATAAGTACTCTCTCTCTCTCTCTTGGAAAGAAATAAGAAATCGATTATGGAGTGTTACGAGTATCGAGTTGTTATTAGCGTGTCGGCGTACAAGATCTATTGATATTGTAATACGGGGGATTTGATGCTTGACTTCCCTACTACCCCCCACCCCCACATCGATCTTAATGGAAATGTCTGCATTTGTAGACATGGGGGTGAGGGGGGGGGGCTAAGGGAGATGACTTAAACTAGTATCAATGTGGGATAAATAAAATATATTTAAATAAATGTATATAAATATGATTGCTCAAGTACTAAAGGGAGTTATTTATAATAATAAAAGGAAATAATTTTTTGTAATAATAAAGATATATTGATGTTATATTGATGAAGAATACATTTGATTATAA